CATTCGATCCGTCTTGACGAGACGATTCGAATGGTATCCAAACCATTAAATTTCGTTCACTGTATCATGAGATATAGTAAAATTTTCTAAAATAGGGCACTTATATGTAATTATCTTACCTTTTTGGGCACTTAATTCCCCTAAAATTTTCACTGATTTAATACTTTTTTTATGATTTTTTTTAAAAGAAATTTTTTTAGTAATATACTATTATATAATAAATAATAAATAGGGAACGTCATAATTTATGTTAAACCAGTATAGTTATAGGGATCTTAAAGATAATACAAAATAATACTATATGGAATTATCTTCAAGGTATTTATTTTTATACAATACTGTACTGGTTTAACGTAAATTATGGATAGTATTTTTAAAAACGCAAGGATGAAATTTTCGAGTAGATCGCACTAAAAAGAGTAAACGCGGCAAGTGTTTTGGCTGCGGACTTTTAAGAACCTGCAAACTTATAACGATGTTAATAAATTCCCTCAAAGTTCTCATTGGACACACAGAAATCTTGTCTCTGATTGAACGAATTTCGAAACTATCAAATACGGCGCGTATATTAAATAATATACTGTAACATGTCGTTATAGTTAGTATTAAGATCAGATATGAATAGATTATGTTAAAATTTTTGCATGGAATTTTTTCATTTTATTTTATTTTATTTTTTTAATTTTTTTTTTGTTAGAACGCAAAATGGCGGAGTCACGATTTTTGATGAAAACCTTTCGTAACACAGTAAAACCCCGAAGTGCACGCTCTATGTAAATTCTCTCTAAATGCTTGGCCTCAACTTATAAGAGCACTATATACTTTGCTCTCTACAAATGCACACTCTCTTTAAGTGCACGTTTTACTTTTATTTTACTATGGTCCCGAGGGGAGGAAGGTCTAACTGTATTCAAGTTACACCAGATCTTGTAATTTTATAGGTCGGAACATCATTGCGTAGTCTAATTTGTTCAGAGCTTGAGGGTGAAATTAGGGCACCCAAATTTAAGTGCTCTCAAGATGAGAATCTACGGACAGTGTTTTTGAGACAGTGCAAATCACATTATAATCCATCAATCCTAATGGATCGGAGGCAAAATTTTAATTAGTCGTAATCCCTTAACGTTAAATTTAATTCGGATAAACTATAATTGCGCAAATTTGTGTAATAGTTAGTGTTTCGAACTAAAACGTCCGTTATATATATTCATGCAGAATCACATTCTGTCAACGGTTATAATTACACAATATATAAATCATAAAATATTAATACAGTAAACATATAAATGGTATAATAAATGTAATAAATTTTCAAAGTCTCTTATTTTTTTTTTTTTTTCACAATGCTAATATGTAATATAAATTTTAAATTTATAATACTGGTATATAAATAAGTATATATAAAAAAATCAATCCAGCATTATCGTGGAATCCTTCCTCGTAAATATTCCATAATGGCGGTTGTACCTTGTTGTACTATCGTGTACCTTGGAACTCGAAATGAATTACCCTCAACAAGTAATGTCTTGATGGTTGTAATATCGCCCAATAGGGGTGGTAAAAAATTGATGTTGTTGTTAGAAATATCAACCACTTCCATATTTTCAAAGGTTGGTGGAGTAATAGATGTAAGTAAATTGGATGTGGCAAGAAAAGTTGTCAGTTTAGGAAATGGAAATTTTGTTGGTAACGATTCAATTCGACAATTGTTAACGTTAAGAACTTGTAAATTTGGAAATGGCGTTTGTTGAGAGTCATCAGGTAAAGAGGTAAGCTGATTTGCTGACAAATCTAATCTGCTCACGTTCGGAAAAACTATAGACTTATCTTCAAATGTTGGAAAAGTAGTAAACTTGTTGTGATCCAATTGAAAACATGTAATATTTGTTCTAAATAATTTGAAGCTAATAGGGATAGTCTGAAGTAGATTAAATCCAAGTAATACAGTTGATGGTTCAAACGTAATCTCTTGTAAATCTTCCTCAGAAACTGTCGTTAATGATTTCTTGGAAAGATCTAATGTCCTTGATGATATATTCTGTTGGCTTACAGTTCCTAATGCGGAAGTTTTTACATCTGTATCGATAGATGTTCTCGCATGATTTGTAGCTCTTTCAGGGATAGTAGGCTCATCCATGTTTTCAAAGTCTATTTTAACAAAATCATTATTAAATTAGTTAATAAAATAAAATAAGATATAATACACTTACCGACAGTTGTCAATCTATCCCTTAATGTTTTTAATACTGCAGCTGTTGATTTGGGACCTTTTGGAGCATTTCTTATAGGATTTCCCTCCCAGCCCAAAAAGTCCAGAGCTGTCAGCATGCCTAATTCGGCTGGTAAAGTTTTAAGGTCATTATTACTTAAATCTAACCGTTTTAAACTCTTCAAAGTTAATAAACCTTCAGGAAGTTCACGAAATTTGTTATCACCAATATCAAGAATCTCAAGATCAGGTGTTGTATGAAGCAGAGGACCAAAATTTTCAAATAGATTAAGAGAAGCAAGTAATTCTTTAAGTTTCGGAAGTTTTATTGTTGGATGAAAAATGGTAGCATTTTGTGATTCATCCAAAGCTTTTAATCTATTTTGACGAATATCTAATCTTTTCAAAGAATGTAATTCAACTGTCTGACCATTCAATCCGATAAAAACTATTTCTAATTTATTTTCACTAATTTCAAGTTCTTCCAAATTCCTCATTCCACTTGTTGCTAAACCAGGAATTTCTTTTAATTTATTCTTTGCAAGATTTAATTTTCGAAGATTTTTTAAATTTTCAATTTCTTTTGGTAGCCCAGTGATTTCATTTGATGAAATATCAAGTATTTCCAATTTAGACAGATTTCCAAAGGAAGAATCTAAAACACCCGTTAATTTATTTGAAGAAAGTTGTAATTCGACAAGAGAAGATAATGTAGTCAAACAATCAGGAAGGTCGCTAAAACGATTAATTGATAAATTAAGTGTGGTAAGACTTTGTAATTCACCAAACTCTTTTGGAAGAGATGATAAATTATTGTTATGAAGCTAATATAAATTGAAATTATTCATCAGATTTAGGTATTGTAAAATAATATACACGTTACTCTGGATATATCGATTTTTTCATTAGTAATACCGACATTTATATAAATTGAGAAAAAATGTCGATATAGAAAGATTTTATTATGATGTCGGGTATACCAGAGCGACGTGTAGTAAATAATAATAATAATGATAATACTTACATCAATGAAAACCAGAGCATTAAATTCTGCAATTCGTTTATCAATTACTTCAAGTTGATTATCTGCTGCCACCATTCTTACAAGGTCAACTGTTTCATACCACACATCTGAACCACCACCGCTAAAATCAATAGTGATACTTTTTGGATCAACTTCATACATTCTCCATACTTCTTCCGGAATTGCTTTAAGAGATCGATGAGAGATATTTATGCGACCTATAAGAAAAATAGAAATATATATTTATGTCAAATTTTTATACTGTAAAAAGATTTTATGATAATTTAATAAATATTATAGTTTATACCTGAAGATTTTGCTTGCTTAACTATTACATTCAAACTTTTAGCACCAATTTCTTGTTCTTCTTCTTTTGTAGAAGTTTTATTGGTTGCTTTTTTTAATCTAGCTTGGGCAATTGCATCTTTAATAGAAGATGAAGCAGTCGCTCGAATAGGTTTTGAAGTTGCGGATGAAGGTGATGGAGATCTTGAATTTCGTGGGGATGCATTTTTTGGAGATAAACTATTTTGAGAAACAGATGCACCTGATCTCTTGACAGTTGATGGTTTTTTTAAACTAGTTTGATTGGATTGTAAAGATGAAGTAGTGGATGAAGTAGAAGTTTTTTGAGAGGTAGCTGAAGACGTTGACTTTGCAGTTTTAGCCCCTCGAACAGGAGTTGAGCCAGTTGATGTTTTGCGCATGCTTTAATATAATTTCTTTGTTTGAAGAAGGTTATTGTACAGCGTAAAACCAAGAAATTTTATATAAAAATTTGTTTACAAATTTGTTTACGCATTAAAAAATATAAGATCCTACCGTTATAGTTTGATTGCCCTTAAATAAGTTTGATAGATGAATTTTGATTCGCATAAATTCACATAAATTCGCATAATGATTAATGATTTTTGAGTAACAAACAAACCTTTTATTTAAACTCAGCTATTGTCGAAAGTCCCCTACTACAGTACTATGTGGATTAAAATATATATATATATATATTGAATATATGCGTATTAAACCTATTAATGACACTAAACTTTTTTAGAACATATGACGAGGGCTTTCTAAAAACGATGGATAAACTTTTCAACTGCATATAATATGCTGTATTCACATACATAAAACATAAGTGGTGCTGTTGTCATTTATATCGATTAATGGTAATACAAAAAAAGGTAATACAAAAAGGTAATCTTTTTATGCATAATTGGAATCGGGCGAACGAATTAATCAAGAGAATATGAATAATACGCACCCCTTGTCACAAATTGTGCAACTTGCTCGTGAGAATGCAAATCCAAGCATGTTTATCGTTATTACTATTATTTTATTTTACTTTTTTATGATAATGTCATTAAATGCGGAATAGAAATTTTTTAGAATGAATTTTTTCCATTTTTATAACTTGAATTGGAATTAAAATTACGACGCATAAATCAAAGATTATATATACAATGTATATTATTAATTATATAACTGATAAATATACAGTACTGTATAACCTATTGAAATACATATTGGTTCGTGCTTTGTTACTAACCTAGTTTTTAAAACTATGAATTACGTAAATTTCTATTACAATAATATAGTATAACAATAGTAGGGATTATCCAGTTATCAGTTATACGTGTACTTGGTTATTTTTGGTTATTGATCTTGAAACTTTTGCAATTGTAACACATTGTATTTTTTGATTACGATTTTTTATTATTTATTATCAAATAAAATTACAAGAAAAAAAAAAAAAAATCTAAATACAAGAAGAGAATTTTGTCTAATTCTACATTTATAAAGATTTATAAAGATTTATAAAGACGTTTTTCTATTTTACATTAAAGATCCCTAAAGTTATCTTTAAATAATCTAACAACATAGCAACATTTTTTCTATATCTTTCCAAGCATCATCAAATTGTCCTTTTTCTCTGTAAACAACACTTCGTTCACACAATGCTAAAGCATTATTCGGATCTTTTTGAATAACTCGATTCAGATCAACCAAAGCTTTATCATATTTTTTATATATTCGATAAATTGAACCCCTATAACATAATCCGAGTGTATAAGAATTATATGAAATTTCTGACGTAAGATCAAATTTTGATTCTAAAACCATTTTTAAATCTTTATAAGCTTCAGGATATTTTTCTAATGATTTATAAATTCCAGCTCGAGTAACATAAAATTGACAAGTATTTTTTGGTTGATCTATACTATCATTTAAATCATTTAATGCTTCATCATATCTACCAAGTTGTTGATAAATTTCTGCTCTATAACATAATAAACTAACATTTTGTGGAAATAATTTTAATCCTTGATTAAAATCGGATAATGCATCTTCATATCTACAAAGTTTTAATAGAATTCTTCCTCGATTTAAAAGAACAGCTTTAATAGCTTTTCTATCAAATTCAGAATTAGATTCAGGATCTAATAAATTGTATAATTTATTCCAATCAGATAATGAATCAGAATATAAAGATAGTGATTCACATAAATTCGCATGTTGATGTATAACTTTAATATTAGTTGGTTGTAATTTCATTATATTTGCCAAAGCTAATTTAGCTTCTTGTTGATGACCTAATTCTTCAAGAGCTGATCCGCGAAGTTGATGTATTTGTGATATTATTACTGAATCTTGAGTAAATTTTAATGCTTTATCTAAATCTGATAATGCTTTTTCAAATTCACCTAATTTAAAAAAAGTTTCACCTCGATCAAAACAAATATATTTTTCATTTTGTGGTTTCATTTCCAATGATTTGTTGAAATCAGCAATTGCCTCAGGATATTTCTTCATAATTAATAAAGCTTTACCACGATACCTATAACCAGATGGATGCTCTTCAATTTTTAAAGATTTATCCAAATCTTCACAAGCATTTAAATGAAATTTTGATAAAAAATTAATTTTTCCACGATTTCTTAAAAGTTTTGGATTTTGAGGATCCAATTGTAATGCTTCATCTATATCATATAGAGCATTAAAAAATAATTTTTGAACTCTATAAACTTTAGAACGACTCAATAAAGCAATTACATTTTTTGGATAAAGTTTCAAAGCATGATTAAAATCAGTTAACGCATTATCATATTGGTGTAGAGCACGATATACGTTTCCTCGATTAGATAATAATTTTACGTCATTTGGATTTGATTGTAATCCAGAAGTTAAACTTTTTAAAGCATCTTCATATCTGTAGTAAAATAATTATTTATAAAAAAATAGATATTTCATAAGATTACTTATGTAATAAAGAAATTTACAAAGCTTGCCTTTTTAAACGAATAAGAACTTGGATCCGAGCAAATTCAGCATCTTTATCTTTAGAATTAATGTATAATACAAAATTTATATCTGATAACGCATCATCATATCTCTTCAAAGCTTTATTTACTTCAAGTCTAATATAATATCCTTTTACTTTCGATGGTTTTTGTTTTATTGCAAGGTTCAAATCTTGTAATGCTTTTCCATATTCACTTTGGTTAAAATTGGCATTTGCACGTTCACATCTTACAGAATAACTTTCTGGATATTTCTGTAGTAATTCTGTCCAATATTCAGTTGCTTCTTGATATTTCTTTTCTTTCGTTGCCCTGACGGCTTTTTGAAACGTTGGATGAAAATGTTTTGATATTTTTGATTTTATTGAGAAACCGAATATTAATCCGATGGATTTTGTTCGAATATGAGATTTATTATCGGTAGTTAATGTTTCTGTTGTTTCTTGTGAATGAGTTACTTGCTCGACGTTGATCGTTTGTGAATTCGCATCCTTATGAAGCTTTTAATAATAATAACAAAAAAAAAAAAGAATATATAAATATAAATATATATATATATATCATATATATCATATATAAGTTATACGTATATCGAAATCGTAATCCATGAATCGTAATCCATGAATCGTAACGATTAATCGTAACGATACATACCTTGATTTTCAGTAATGAATCACTCTTATATTTGTTTTTACTAAAATTTAGCATCATATTTTTTTTCATTCGTTTTAGGAAAGTTTTTAAGAAAAGATTGAATTTAGTTAAGGTTTGTACATTACGGAAAGCTCTCTAGTATCACTCTTTTTTATATGAAAGTGACAAAAGCAAACCATAAAGTTATAAAGTTATGCAAATTTATATTATATACATGCAGGGTAATATGATACATATGAACGTTGCACGAGGAAGATTAGTACTGTATGTATGTACAGTACGTAGGTACGTACTTTCGCTAATAGAAATCTCAAAGCTTTTATAATATATATCACGCGTGTCTTCGTGCCTTCCTTGTTCCCTGAATGATTGGTTAAATATTGTTAATTAATAATATACGTTAATAATATACGTATTACAGATCCTTTTTAGTTGATAGTTTATTAATTCAAATCCGAGATCGACAATCAAATTTCTTTTGCATTTGATTGATTATTGTGCTAAATTTAGCTGTTTCACTAAAGATTCTTGAGTCGAGACATCTCTTTATAACACAGAACTTCAAATATAAAACGTTAGAAAGTCAGTTACTCATATTTTTTACGTATGCAAATAAATGTGTAAAAGCTGAACTACTTAAGACTTTCTAGACGGTCTAAAATCAAGAAATTAATTCCGAATCTAGAATTTAATAAGTGTTTCGTTTTGAGAAACGTAAAAAAAAAAAAAATATCGAGCGAATTTATTTGAAAATTCATACCCCGCTCATGCACATTTGATCATTTGATTTATTAATTGATTTATTTAAAATAAATAAATATACAATACATATCGAATAATGAATTTTCAATAGTGTTCGTTTATAGAATATTATAAAAATCTCCGATGATAATAGTCTTTCCCAAATTTATTATTACAAATGCAATTTATTCAGTTACCTAACTTTATAAAGTAGACTAACCTTATAATCTTTGTTATATACCAATAGAAAACGTTTGTTTAAAAAGTCGATAAATGGATTAACCAAATTATTTGCGCTATAAAAATACTATAAAAATTTTCCGATTATTATGAGCCTATTGGTTTTGACATATGCACTTACCATTACTACTTTTGAATGTTATTGTATGATTCTTTTTTTTTTTTTTTTTTTTAAGATGGCGCTTTCTTGGAATTTTATATTCATTGACCTATATCGATATACGGTATTAATGCTTACCATTACGCTCTGAGTTGATTCAAATGGGAAATTTCGTCTGCTCCAATCCATTGCTATTATTACATTGGGAATGTTTTAATATCAATTTTTACTAATTTATTATAAGCATATGCATTTGTAGTAGAAGGGGCTTAACCTGCCAAGGAAATCAATAGTTTTTTGTACGTAGATTAAATGGAAATCGGTTTGCATAATAAAGAAACTCATATCACGAGATTTGCTTGACCTATCAATGCGTGAAATTTTTGATTACCCGGAATTAGTCTAAACAAAATAAATTTGAATTTTAATTACATAAATTATTTTATTTAAAAAAAAAAAATTGTTTAGAAAATAATATAAATAATATAAATTTTGATAAATTTAAATAATTTTTTTTTTTTATTAAATTTATATTTTAGCTAAAATTAAAATAAGGTCATTAACTTGTGTTTTTGGTTTTCATAACTAGAGCTCTTGCCCGGGCCGGGTTGACCCGTACGGATCAGCTTCTTGACGGGTCACGGGTTAAACGGGTAAACGGGTCATAAATAGCATGGATAAAATTCATCGATAATATTCTGATATTATATAAAACAGTTGACGTAGAAATGGGTGAATTCAAATTATGAAAAATTCCGGTTCAAGTATTTGTTATATATTAATATATAGGCACAATATAAAATTACAAAATTCTATAAAATCTACTCTTTAAACTCTCGAGAGTAACTTACATAACCAATGACCCAAGCAGTAGCTCTAAACAAGAGTCGCTACATCAACTTTATGTAAGTGGTAACTTTGAAATCTTTATATGACCCGTTAACCGGGTTATGACACGACTAGATAAGGGCGCAATGAAGAATTGACCAATCAGAATTGACTATAGAAAACCACATAACGATAGATAGTACTCAGATCTAAAGTTATATGAATTTTTATCGGATAAAAGCTTTTGTAAATTACCTAAAATTAGCAGAATTATAAATATAAAATATATTGTATTACAAATTTGATGTGAAAAAGATTACATTCTTGAAAAAAAATGTCATATTTAAATTTTACAATACATTTTAAAATGGTAATTCTTTAAAAGTAGTGGAAGGATTATTAAGGATAAATCTCACTTGATTATTAACTGTATATTCTGTAAAAAAATATTTAATTAAAAATATAATTCAAAAATCATTTTATTTACATTAATGTAGTGCGTAAATATAAAGAATATTTATTAATCTAAAATCTATATATATTTAAAATAAACTTTTCAAGCATGTAGATATTTACTAATTAATTTCACTTTATTTACGATAGCTTAACACGTGATCAATAATTTAGTATATATGTGAGTAGAAAGAACATTCGTTATTGAATATTTTTAAATGAGCAACTCAAAGTTTATGATCATTGACTAAGGGAATTACGTAAATATAGCCTTTCCCATTTGACAATTGCAAATTCTAATATAATCAATTTCATCAATTACGTTTTTTGATTACATTAGAATTTGTAATTGTCAAATGGGGGGAGGCTATATTCACGTAATAAGTGTTAGTTCCCTAATTAATTTCATTTTATTTGCAATGGTTAATGTAGGGATTGTACCCGGGTAGAAATTGCTATTATGTGACATAGTAATTTATCCGGCAACGGGTACAATATCTAGGCTAATGTGCAGTGAAGTTCATCGGGCTTTTTGGACCCGTGTGATTGGACGCCCGATCCAACATCCATTCGTTATTCTTGGTCACTAAATTTTGGATCCCAATCTAACTCTAAATAAACCATAAATTTGACTAGCCGAAGTTAAGTTTGTAATATAACTTAAGATCCAACAAAATTAGACTTTAAACGTCTAATTATTGGATCTTGAACGTCAAATGTCCAATCAAAATCATTGGATCATTGAATATGACAACACCACTAATGCGTGAATATAAAAATTTTAAAAGTACTCAAATAAGCAACTCAAGTTCATGAATAGCTATTTAATTTTGTTTTGTTCTCAATAATATTACGTGAATATAAAGAGCATTTATTAGTTTAAAGTATTCAAAATAAGTAAATCAAGTCCATGAATAGCTATTTAATTTTGTTTTATTCGCAATATTTATTAGTGCGTGAATATAAAGATATTTTATTATTTTAAATATTCAAAAGAATACTTATTAACTAATAATCAAAATAATCAATTAAAGTCCATGAATATTCACTATTTAATTTATTTTATTAGTGCTGTGTAAGTATAAAAAAATGTTTATTTCAAAATAAGCGATTCAAATTTGTGAATATTTACTATTTTATTTGTGATTATTTAGTATGAGAACATAAAAGAACATTTACTAATTTAAGCATTCAAAATAATCATTTTAAGGGTGTTATCAAGCACCCTCACTCAATGCTGCAATGGTTCGAAAGTAAAATTTTAATTAGTTTAATTAGTCGGAAATTGAATAAATTAACCAAGTGAGTTACCATTTCGATGAACAAATCGGCGAGGTCGCTCAAGCATTATTTTTACATTTTTTACATATCAAACATAATAAACAACAAATTTCTAACCGGTCTAAAAAGATAGCTACTTTATTTTTAATGTTCGAAGCTTTTAAAATAAATAATCGATACCTTGATACGAATGTAATAGATACGATCCATCCTTTAACTTTTAATAAGCTATAATGAATACTGTTATTCCATTTTCACTCATTTAAATTTAAAATCTTCTCAGTAAAGAAGACCTAAAACTAAAAGGTTTGGGTAGATGTTTTTCCATATTTGACGGATAATAAAGAAATTTAAATTGTTAAAATCATTAAAAGGAGAAGCCGATGTAACTAAAGTTGAAACTTTAACGGTTGATCGAAAAGAAATTTTTTTCATTAGGTTTTTTAAAAATATGCTCAAGCATTTAATTCTATAAATATCGTCATCAATTATGGTGTTTTAGCGTCATCACAATTATTATCTGATCAATTGATTTAGATGCTTGAGAACAGCCTAAGTCAGTGAATATTTATTGTCACGGATGATGGTGAAATCGGATGATCGTGAAATCAAACCCTATTTAATATACGATTTTTAAAATTTTTAGTGT